CTGCGCCGCGTGTCACTCTACCGCGCTGGCACCAGGAGGTCAGGACAACGCGTCGGTGGCCGTAGACTGCGATGCGATGCGATCCGCATTGTCGTCGTCGATTGTTTCGTAAAAAATATGTAGTTATTATTGAAAAATGGAAATACTTCATTGTCGACGTTCTTAAGGTATAATACGTAATTTTGTCTTCTCTGAAATCTAGATTATTACAATAAAAAAAATTGGTTATAATTTCTCTTCATTTTCACGGCCCACCTGGTGTTAAATGGTTATCGGAGCCAATAGACTGCAAAACGTGAATCTCTGGACTCTATGTAAGGCTATCTAAGGGCAAGAAGTATAGGTACCTGCCTAGGGGATTTGGAGACCGGCATACTTACATCATTCGATACAAAAACACCGGATGTCTTATCGTGCGACGACTTCAGTATTGGACAGTATAACGGCCGATCCTCCTTACAAACAGAAACGCATAACTGTTTAGGCGCAAAAAGCAAGCAGTTTGGCACCTACCCATGCAGACTTCCAATTAACCATCAGTACTTATGCAAATTTATAGAAATTGTGGGTTGGATCTTGAACGTTTAACTTGGAAGTCATTCGTGAACAGCCTTTTCTGGTGGTAGGACGTCTTGTGAGTCCGCACGGGTAGGACCACCACCCTGCCTATTTCTGCCGTGAAGCAGTAATGCGTTTCGGCTTGAAGGGCGGGGCAGCCGTTGTAACTATACTGAGACCTTAGAACTTATATCTCAAGGTGGGTGGTGCATTTACGTTGTAGATGTCTATGCGCATAGACATCCACCAGGTGGGCTGTAAGCTCGTCTACCCAACCCACGTTATATTGGTACAGTTCAGATATAATTTAGTTTTAAAACCTTGTACCAACCAAACCAAAACCTTGTACCCAAGTACGTATTTCGTTAAAAAAATTATACCGGTCTGCGGTAGTTGAGCACATGCATAGTTACTTGCAGTAGTAACACTCGATACAGATACACCAGGAGTGTTATATTTTAGTCTACTAAGCGCCTTTCCTGTCGACCTTTAAATTGCTTAATTGAAAAAATTCCCAAGTCCCAGTTGAGATTCAGTTTGAACCTTTGATCATTGAAAAAATTAGGTCACGAATCTATAGGGGAGTTTTATGGCCCTTGTCGATGACTGAGATTTTGAGGCCGACGTAAGAACGTAGCTGTATAGGGAAATGGCTATAATTACATCTGTTTGTAATACTCTATCGTGGGTTTGTGCTATGTATCCAACATCTGAAAATCTTGTTGGAGAATCTTAAAAATTCAATATATGTTTTTTTTTTAATAGAACTAAATTTTAGTCGTGATTTTCATAAAACTTAATATAACTTACCAAAGCAAATTACAGAGATCTAAATCTTTCTACTGCGTCACAAACATTCAAGATACCAAGTGTCTTAAAAAGTTCCTTGTAAGGATGAATGTAGGACAGTCAAGTGGTTGCAGGCTTTTGAATGTGAGCGCGACTTGACTCTACATCTACTGTGTACATATAGTTTTAGGTTACTGAACCCTACACATATAAATTTTAGGCAGTTATTTTCTCGTTTTTTCAGTTAGTTGATTTAGCTTTGTCTATTTTTAGCTTTTGTTTTTTCCACTGACTAGATGTATGTATGGACCAGCTCACAGTCCACTTGATTTTAATTATCGAAGCTCGCAGATATTACAATGCAAGTTCCACATGAGAAATGAGGTCGGATTCGTGATATCATTGTTTAACAGCCGCCTCACCCCTCAAAACGAAATGCATTGCCGTTTTCCGATACTTTATAGATCGCGATCCTACCAAAAAGTCGTGTATGGGATTTGCTATTTAATATTAGATGTGCTTTTTCTTTATTCAGTATTGTTTTTATTTAACATAGCAAAAGTCTATTTTAGCACTTACTAATAATTTAAAAGTAAAAAAACCAGATAATGTTCTGTGTCGCGTTCCGGAAGTTCTGGTCGGAGGTGGATGAGATAATACTTATTTTAATTTTAATATTCATCGTATTAATAGCACGTACTCGTTGCTTTCGAACTTTGAAAAAAAATAGATTTATTTTTGTATTTATTAGCATCGACTTTAAAGAGAAGATATATTTGGAGCGACAACAGTACGAATGTTTTTCGGTACTTAGAGTCATAGAACGCCAGATTCTATTTACTGTCGTTAGTGCAATTCAAGTTTTTATCGGATTTCTTCTATATAAAAATTTTCTAAACATTTTTTTTTTATTGCTTAGATACCCATCTCACGAGACGAGCTCACAGCTCACCTGGTGTTAAGTGGTTACTGGAGCCCATAGACATCCACAACGTAAATGCGCCACCCACCTTGAGATACAAGTTCTAAGGTCTCAAGTATGGTTACAACGGCTGCCCCACCCTTCAAACCGAAACGCATTACTGCTTCACGGCAGAAACAGGCAGGGTGGTGGTACCCACCCGCGCGGACTCACAAGAGGTCCTACCACCAGTAATTACGCAAATTATAATTTTGCGGGTTTCATTTTTATTACACGATGTTATTCCTTCACCGTGGAAGTCAATCGTGAACATTAGTTAAGTACGTATTTCATTAGAAAAATTGGTACCCGCCTGCGGGATTCGAACACCGGTGCATCGCTTCAACACGAATGCACCGGACGTCTTATCCGTTAGGCCACGACGACTACAAAAGAAGCCGAAGAATACCTGTCCGCCCGTCGCTAAGCACTTACCAGACCAGGCATTTGGGAGACATGTGATTGCATTCCCAGTTGAAGTTAAATAACGTTTTTCCTGCTCTGAAGCGGAAAACATATTTTTTCGCGAGATATTGGCAGAACAATGAGATTGCTGATACCAACACTTGATGTGATGACACACCATGCTTTATTATTAATACTCTGTTTTCCTGTAGTGTACCGAGTAATACCTATTTATTAAGACCTATTTATTGCTATTTAAACAGTATTTGTGACATGTATATATTTTTGTTTGGATATTTTAAAATTACGCAATTTTTTTTAAAGATTTTTATTAATTTTAGCGAGGTTAATAATCCTTTATTCGTGAACATGAGTTGGGTGCTTTCGAGATTTGAACACCACCCTAGTCGCATCGCATCGGGCCGTCTTATCCTATAGGCTACGGTGACATTTCAGAGTTCAATCTCACCATTTCGAGATGTTGGTGAGAATGTGTGATTATTGCCAATAAAAAATAAATTTAAACAATCGAAGAATCATCAAGTGCATTTCAAACTTAATTTGTTCCAAATTCATATTCCTTGGGATGACGTCATAAAATATTCTTGAAGCGACGCCGCGGTACACGCTACACTTCCTTTGTTAAACTTTGTACTGAATTATAAACAGCGTATTGTCTATTGTGCCCTGAATGGTGCATCCGTGCACCTTTGGCTCGATGGCCGGGATAATTTAAGCCGCAAACGGGATAAATATGTCGCGACTCGGGAAGTTATTTTCCTGTTTTTGTACAGTTTATAAGTTATATTAGTAATAGAATTTATCTAATATTAATACGTGAAGCAAAAACTTTGTATCCCTTTTTACGCAAAATTGCGTGGACGGAGGAGTATGAAATTTTCTACACTTATAGAGAATATAGAGAAGAAGTGCACAATGTTAATATTTTTTTTAAATAATGCATAAAAGATACATTAAATCAATAAAGAAAACGTTACACACACTACATACCATGTATTTGACGCATACACGCATGCATACTATTTATTGTCAAACTTTTGTTCTTGACGTCTGTTGTCAAATTGAGAATAGATTAAATATTGTTTGTCTTTGTTAATATTTTTAATAGTGTAGCCTTGGCGAAATTTGTGATTATAGAAGTATAAAATACAATCATAATAGTGTACAAACTTACAATTCCAATTAATTATAGTCGAATTTCGACTACTGCGGGAACTCTAGTAAATTTTAATTTTCATACTTGTTTTGACTCAGCTCGATTTTTATTTTGGTTCATTTATACGGATCACCGTTTTTAAAAAGGCGCTCACTATAATTCATGTAAATAAAAACGAAAGTTTTTTTTTTATTCTGTGGCTATTGTGACAAAGATCGCTAGAATTATTGCTTGTTCTCCCAGGAGGTTCCTATCATAGTACCATCAAAATAAGATAGGTAATTTCAATAAATTGATGTTGTTCATATAATTAATGATCGATATAACAGAATGTGCCCGAATTTCCTATATTTAGTAAAATTTTAAACGACACAACGTTTACCTGAAATTTACTCGGAAACTTTTTTTTATCCTACCTATGCTGATGGCTTTGAGAGGCTATATCAGCGTTACCCTAGCGTGTAGGTGAGCTCTCGGGGCTCAAGCTAGAGGTGTTGCTAACACTGGCCCTAGCAAGAGCAGTGCTTCGCAGAATTTACCACTGGATCGGAAACGCGACCCACTGTGAAAGTGTGACCCACTGAGAAAGTGTGGGGTGACTAGGAAACGTTTACGACAGAAGAAACAGCAAATGAATCTAAGAATAATGTTTTGTTTATATGAAACTTATCTTTGTTAAATCTATTATTTATTGCTATGTGTGTTTCAAATTTATTAATCTTGCAGAAGAACTGTGTAATACTTTCCGTTTTTGAATAATTTGCGATTTGTTTTGTTATTATTTACTGTGTAATTTGTAGGCATCAGAAAAAGCAGGGAACTAGATTGTAATAATGTCGAACTACGAATTCTCTTTTTTTTAGTTTGGCTTTACAGACTCCATACGACTGCAATATCCGAGAACGGACCTCATAAATTTTCAATTAATTACACTTATCCAATTTTCGTTTACACAATTCATAGTTATATACAATTGAGAAAAAAAAAAAATTCCTAAATAAAAAGCAGCCACAGTTTTGTTCTTCTGTAAGCTCCGCGTATGAAATACGTGATCGGAAAGTATTTGAATGTATCTAAAGACAGGTGATGGTTTTGGGTGTATCAACGCACCTGTTATTTGAGTCTTTGTCACGTCGAAGGGTTAAGTCGTCACGGTCGCCTCATCGTAAGCTTATCTGAAAATAAGAAAAAAAAACCTTTAATTATTCGACCACCTGCTTTATTTAAACTATAGCTTTAATACATACGTACTGTGTTTCAATGTGTTTATTTTTGCCACGTTCGCGTGTATAGAGTATGTATAGAAATAATATATCCTTAATGTTTTTTTTTATATGCGACTAAATTGGAAAACTAATTGGCTGTCGTACAATAAAATAAACATTATTTAGTCATAGAATAAATAAAAAATGTGTACAGATATTGTTATTGTTTGATTTAAAACCTTTATAATAGAAAAAGAATTTGTATCAGTAATTAAAACAGTAAATTATACATATATTCAATTAGACTTCAAAGAATAAACAATTAATAAGACTTAACTTTTACTTTCATTGTAATTTAGGCAACGCATTATTTCACGAGTACTTATTTTTATATTTGTATATAAATAATCTTATACAAATAATATGTTACTGTAATTAATTTTAAAAGTTTAACAACCCCCGCGAAGGGAGAAAAGACGCCGAAGGGTATGAAGGCATATCAATGTGTAATAACATATTATGTTACCCAATAAACAAGGACGGTGTACTTGATAATGGGAATCAATGATAATGGGAATCAATACTATATTTTCCTATACCTATTTGTTGTATGATCGTATGTGGGTCGGGAAATATGATTGTTTTTGAAGTTTATTTGCGTAATTACTGAACTTCGCGATCCAAGGACGATATTATTAAGGCATGTTCGCCCACTAGACGGTGAGTGGTTGTCATCACTCACACGGCTCTGCCACTGATGAATCTCTTCAAACAGTTCATACACGTAACGGCCATAGACATGAGAAACGAAAACTCGATTTGAAATATAAATGGAAAGTAAAATAGTATATGTCCTGGATGGGAACAACTCGCTTTTTCCATACCTATTCTAGTAACCTAGAGGGGTTATATTAGATTCACTGAATGAGTAGGTAAGCTCACGAGGCTCTAATCTGTGAATTTGCTAACACTAGCCTTCGAAAGAGCAGTGCTTCGTAGAATACAACGTAAATGCGGCACCCACCTTGAGATATACGTTCTAAGGTCTCAGTATAGTTACAACGGCTGTCCCACCCATCAAACCGAAACGCATGGTGGCACCTATCCGTGCGGACTCAGAGGTGGTAGGAGAAGAGGTCCTACTCCTACCACCAGTAATTACAAAAAATTATAATTTTGCGGATTTGATTTTTATTACATGATGTTATTCCTTCACCGTGAAAGTCAATCGTGAACATTTGTCAAGTACGTATTTCATTAGATCAATTGGTACCCGCCTAAGGGATTCGAACATCGTGCCATCGCTAGACACGAATGCACCGGACGTCTTATCCTTTAGGCCACGACGACTTCCAATGTAATAAAAGTGACGTCATTAAGCGATACACTTAATAATAATAATAATTAATAATAATTAATAATTAATACCCTTTTCGTTATATCACAAATACCATAAATATTACATTTAAAAATATATATCTTACTTTTACTTTCAGAATGATAGCTTATGTGATGAAAGAAATTAACTAGGTACATAATTTCACAGAATAACTGTCTTGTTATAATATTGAAGCAACTATAATTGTTTTTAATTATAATACTTCGTTTATATAGAGGAAAATCCATTAATATATTAATTAATACCGTTCGTTATAAATGTTAGATAACTCATAAATATTCACAGCTGCATTCAGGAAAAACTGGAGGGTGTATACGCGATCGGTCACCCAAACCTCATTACGTACAGTTATTAAGCGAAAATAATACAATTATATGTTGTACAATTTCGGTTGGGCACACCGGAAGATAGCGGGCCAGCACAATCGTGTCGTATCTGCATAATGTGTTTTATTTTAGTCTTTGAGGTTTTCGAACTTGCCACTAGCCAGTGGCAAGTTCGAATTTTGAACAACTTTGATGAAATGTTAATATAAGAGTATTATTAACCTTAGTCGTATGCTTCTATTCTGTACTTGATAGCGGGGCTATCTGCTCTAAAATAGATTAACTTTGTAACAGATACGTCTTGTGAAATTCTGCTGGTATTTTTTTTATTGCTTGTATGGGTGGGCGAACTCCCAGCCCACCTGGTGTTAAGTGGTTACCGGAGCCCATAGACATCTACAACGTAAATGCCGCCACCCACCTTGAGATATGAGTTGTATGGTTTCAGTATAGTTACAACGACTGCCCCGCCCTTCAAACCGAAATGCGTTACTGCTTCACGGCAGCAATAGGCGGGGTGGTGGTACCTACCCGTGCAGACTCACAAGAGGTCCTACCACCAGTGTTCCGAGCAATTTATTAGCTTTCATGTCCACAACTAAATGTACCTAATATTTATACATTATAGTCTGATTTGGTTTTAAGCAGTTACCGTTGCGCCAAGGGAAACGAAAACTCGATTTGAAATATAAATGGAAAGTAAAATAGTATATGTCCTGGGAACAACTCACTTTTTCCATACCTATTCTAGTAACCTAGAGGGGTTATATTACATTCACTGAATGAGTAGGTAAGCTCACGAGGCTCTAATCTGTGAATATGCTAACACTAGCCTTCGCAAGAGCAGTGCTTCGTAGAATCTACGACCGGATCGGAAACGCGGCCCAATGAGGAGATTTGGGGAGAAACTCAGTGGCCTGTGTCTGAGAGTTAATTTGCTCGTCGAACTCTTCATCGCAAGTGATGTATTCGACGAGGACGGTGACCGGTGCTTAAGATACCTAAAAGCACCGATAGTAGATTAGGAGCATCCGAAATGACGTCACAACTCACTAGTAATTGCGCAAGCTATAGATGATCGATTAATAAAAAGAACACTATATTAATATTCTTTCAACGTTGAGGGTAGGACAATGGCATAACGTATGACATTAAGTAAAAAAGTCCGCTAACTTTACTGTTATTGAATTCTTAATTCTATGTTACGGCCGTCTGGTGTAGTGGTAAGTGACATGGTCACTACACAAGGGGGTCGCGAGTTCGAATCCCGCCAAGGGAAGATATTTCTATGATAAATATAAATGTCTTTTCCAGGGTTATGGATGTATATTAAATATATGTATGTGTATAATAAAAATCTTACATTTATTTCCATTATCTGGTACCTGTAACACAAGTTCTTTACGAACTTATCACGGGACCAGTTAACGTGGCGTGACTGTTAGTATATATATATATGTTAGATGACAACACCTTTAGTGTTGCCTATTGAACATCAGAAGCGTCAAGTTAAATTCGAATTAAGAACGAGGTCACAGTTCATTAGTGAGACTAATATAAACGTCTGGTGCAAATCCAGCTCCTAAAACGGAAGCCAGCGTTTTCAGTAAATCGATCAGTAAATAGGACAATTGATGTCTATGTATTATTTGGAGTTGGGTACACGCCTGTATTTTTTTATTTTTTATTTCTTAGATTGGTGGACGAGCTCACAGCCCACCTGGTCTTAAGTGGTTACTGGAGCCCATAGACATCTACAATGTAAATGCGCCAAACACCTTGAGATATAAGTTCTAAGGTCTCAGTATAGTTACAACGGCTGCCCCACCCTTCAAACCGAAACGCATTACTGCTTCACGGCAGAAATAGGCGGGGTGGTGGTACCTACCCATGCGTACTTACAAGTGGTCCTACCACCAGTGTATGACTGGATAACGGTATTTTTCGGGATTGAAATTTGTTTTGTAAAAGGTATGTCCAATATTTAATTACTTTTGCAACGATCCAAAGTAGGTTTTAGCTTCGGACACAAGACTGCGCCACAGACCTGACCGAACTCTACTACCTACTACTCTCTACTAGTCGTCTACTCTTCATATGACAGAATTGACAGTAACTCAAAATATTCATTTTGTTAATCTCCACACGTTGACAGACATGCAGTCCGTTTTAAATATTGCTATTCACACAATATAAACAGTAGCGAGCATTCGTAAACACTTTTCACGAGGCACACAGCTTTCAGGGATTGTTTAATTATCATTTATCGAAGATTGGAAAGCATAGTAAAAAAAATAAGCCCTGACTTTTGCATATCGTCGTTGTCAAACCAAAATCTGCTGTATGCAATTTTTGAGTTTTTACTTTTTGACCTTTTCGTATAGTTCACAGCGCTATCTACCGTATAAAAAAAACTGTTATGTGTCTATAGCTTTAATATTTATCTATAGCTTTCATTTGACATAGTTCTTAAAAATTCAATTTCATATAAATTTTTATACGAAAATGTTTTTACTCGTTATTTAAAAATAGAGTTTTTGCACATAGCAGATTTGGTTTGACAGCGACGATATTATGCCAGTGTTCATATCAGTACAATTAGTGCTCTTTCTCTCTTCTCAGCTATTTATCCCACATGGTGGTGGGGTCAGCTTTCCTGACTTTACTCCTCCACTTCGCTCTGTCTTCGACATCCTCGTCAGCAACATTGCATGCTCTCTTGTCCTTCAGCACTACGTCCCTCCACCTTGTCTTGGGTCTGCCTCTAGGTCTCCGACCGGGGAGGTCGAGCAGTAGCGCCAAATTTTCGACGTAGTCAGGTGGCTTCCTTTTCACGTGACCATACCATCTCAGCCTACTCTCCTGCATCTTGTCGGCGATGTCCCGTACACCTAGACTTCCACGCACGTACTCGTTGCGGATTTTATCGAGCCTAGTCACGCCGCACATCCACCTCAGCATCTTCATTTCAGCAACTTGAATGGTATGCGCGTTCCTTTTGGTTGCCGCCCATGTTTCGCTGCCGTACATAAGAACAGGCCTTATTATTGTCTTATAGACCATACCCTTGAGCTTAAAAATCAGTGCTCATATGTCGCACTTTTGACCAACGCAACGCCATCTGATTTACCATTGTAAATGTATATATACAACTAATTGAATTGAATGGTTCGTTAAAATAAATAAAAATAACCAATTGCAACTATAAATAACGTTATAACGACCGATTACAGTGAACGCCTCAT